TGTGAGATTATCGCCGTTACATCCAAAATTCACGCAAATAGAATTGAATATTATACACATACAAAATATAAGAATTATAGATACACACACAAATATAAATTACAATGTATATAAGAATTAGACTTTTTACACTTTGATTTTCCTTACACTACTATATAAAAAACCTGCTCGCTATATTTTCAATAAAAGCTATTTTGTACGCGACCAAAACGATAATAGCGCAATCTACATTATAAAGAATAGTTTTTTAGTGAGTAAGATATTAGCTATGTTACTGCTAATCCAGTGACAAGTAGCTCCCGTTTTTGTTTATAAGATATCTCGAATAAAAAAACTTTGTAATATTTATATTTTTATTTATCGGAATAGAATTTTTCGGATATTTGTAGACAAAAGCCTGTTTATTGACATCAAATGTGCCATAGTAAAAACATGCGTTTCATAAAAGGTGGACAACTATTCAATAACTATTTTCAAAGAAATCAACTATTACTTTTTGGAATTAACAATTACGTTATAAGTTTGACTACTCGTTTAACTAACTTTAACTAACATTATCGAATTATCATTACAGGACGAGAAAAACCAGTTGCTCATCACGAACCTTTGGCTGAAATTGGTGAGTGTCATTAATTCTTCTTGAGAATCTCGTTTTTTTTTTGTGTCAAATAAAACGAGCCGCGACGTTTTCCCAATTGATCGCTGCCACTTATACGAACAAAACAAGACTTGTTGAATTTGTCTCAGTTATTTTTCAAAAGATCTTTAATGTTCGATCAATTAACCGGAATCTTGATTGATTTCAAGTTATTTTCAAGAGTGCGTCCTGCCACGATTCAGTTATTGTGTTACACATTACTCGCTTTTATATTCGACGCGCCTTATCGTTCTTGCAGAATGGTCGCGTCATGTAAATCAGGCATTTACCGTGTCGTGATGCAAAAAGGTGGGAAACAAAAATATCGTCATAAACTGCACGTGACGTTACTTCATTTACATATGATTGCGTTCTACCGTTACTCTGTTTATCACTCTGTTTATAGCTGTGTTTTATCGTAAATTCATCACGATGTATACGAGTTAGCGATTTTTTTTCCTCCCGCAATATATATCGCAGAAATCTTTCATAATTTGATATCTATTATATGAGGAGAACGTTGCTCGTTACACATTTATGTGTGTTTATATTTCGCGTTTGCAACTTTATTGTCGGATCGTCAATGTTCTCAAAGATGTATGATAGAAAAGTGACGACGACGCGGCGGCGAAGTATCCGTGACGAGAAAGGTCGGATCGGATTTTTATCGGGACCCGAACTATTAATAGGACAGCCGCAACAGGTTACTCCCAGAGCAGCACGAGGGAGTAAAAGACGCGCCCTTATTAGGTTCGCGACGGTGTTTTCTTCCAGAAAGCCGGCGTCCGATCCGCTCGGAAGCGCTTGTTGGTGTTCATTTGTCGCGGCTTATGAAGCAGCTTTGGATGAAATCCCGCGCGAGTTCACACGAGAGATTTGCGTTGACCTGAATTCGACGTCATCGATGACCGATCGTTCTCGACGATTGATTGACGGATTGGACACACACAGACCGCGCCCTTCGACGCAGCTGACAATCCAAACGGCGAAGGTCGTGTGATCTACGTTACGTCGCCATACCGGTTGGCCCTAATTTTGCCTCCTGTGTTCTTAATCTTTTACGACGGCTACAAGTTGATATTCGAGGGATTTGCGCGATGATAAATATTTCATTAAATTTTATCTCGACTTTATTATCATCGTTCAATTAACCAAGATCATCTTTTCGTTCTACAGAGTTTCTGTAGGACGAAAACTACTACATATCTTTGCACTAAGAATAATTTTGGCTTTTTACTTTTAATGTTATCTGTTTCGAACTCTTTCTCTCAACGTTATTTCGTCAATATCACATCGGATAAGTGTGATGTATTTGCAATTTTAAAAATACACTATCATGCGGAGAATATAGAAACGTCAATTTTCTTCCTTCGCTATTTAATCTTTTCCATATTCCGTGAACACGATGACGGCCAATGCATACGGAAGTAACACGCAGCTGCATTTGACTTAAAAAGTCGATACGTTTGCAAAATATAAATCATATCGATATTCAAGGAACATTCGACATTCTCGTGTATTGATGTACACTTTCCGGTGGCATTGCTATCAGATGCACTTGTGCGTCGAATGCACAAGAAAGGGGCCGAAAAATTAAATCTGTTCTCTACGAATAAGAACGATATACCTACACGTTTCTTTTTACCATACTAAGAAGACGATATATTTTTAAAATATGTTTTTGACTTGAGAAATATTTTTCTCGTATTTCTCGAAAAACATAAGGATTCGCGGAATAATTTTCTTGTTAAGCACGTTTTGAATAACGGCTTCGCCGAAACATCAAAATTTAACTTGCGATGTTAATTCAATGTTAATGGCTCACGCGATATGTATTATTTTCGAAAAAGCGCAAATGCTGCAAACGCATTCGACATTTGTATATAATTACGTTCGTTCGAAATTATTAACTTAATCCTTGCGGGTTGTTCATTAAATCACGCACACAACATGCGATATTCAATTTCATATGTCGCGGCCATGACATCACTATTATATGTCCGCCGCTGCATGTAAATTGACGAAATACAAGACGCGATCAAAAACTTGTATTTATATACCGGATCTCTGCCTATATTTTTGTGAACAATTGCGCTTAGTATTCGACGTTTGCACATAAATCCATTTCGCGAATCGCGCATATCAATTTGATAGATCTGTGTTTTATTAACATTTGGTTTGCAAACTGAACGATGAATTTACATTTGAAGACTTGTCAATTTTTACATGTGATGTTTCGCAAACAAAAAATCGAACAATGCTTTATATCTATGTGGCGCGATATCAAAATTATGAAATTCGATTTAATTTTTTTATACAAAAAAAATAAGATTCATCGATAATGCTCGCATTGCATATAACAATAAATAAATTATTAAAACAGGTCTATGGCGAACAATAAGGTTCCTTAATGTAAATGAAAATAAAAAAAAAAAAAATAACAATAATGAATGCGAAACGTTTCGATTCTAACTTGAAGCTTCTTCAGTCGCAAAATTACAGAAATAGCGTGCAAATACAAATTAAAAAAGAAAATTACAAAAAGATGTCAGAGTTGATAAAAACGTGTGAGATCTCATGAGGTATGCTCATATCTTAATGTGTAAAGAAAATTAGGTCCAAAGCGGGAGAACTGGTCGGCGTAACAGTCAAATGCATTAAGTTTTTATCTGAATGTTTCTTTTGTTATGTTGCGAATCGATGTTATTCTTGTTGTATAAATTTTAACTGACCAATAAGAATGATTAAAAACCATGTGATGTTCGAACATTATGTAACAGGTGTGCGTATTTTCGACCGGTGGTTAGTTTACTCGTTGCGCTTGTACCGCCTAAGGCCGTACAGATCTCTGTCGAGAATACACATTATCTTGTTATTTGTGTCTGAACGCCGAAAATGATTGAGTGCTGAAATTTATGTAAACATAGAAGTGTAGCGCGCGTGCGGAAATCTCTCGCTCGCAGAAATGCAATGCGATTCGAAACCGGTGCAGCGACGAGACGGCGCTGTATAAAGTTTCGTTACTTCGGTCTCATCGTCTCTATGTGCAGCGGGACGCAAGAAGGAAACGCATTTACATAATTTTCGCCCGAGCTGATGGAACAGGGAATCCGAAGTAGCGCAACGATACCGCAAACTTGCCCGAGCAACATCACGTGCGAAATACATGCACGAAAATACACACACGTACGCGAAACGCAACACGTACCGGGTGTCTCGTAGTCTGTAGACGCGATTATCCCAAGGCGTCTGTTAATTTCTTCCAATGAATGTGGTAGTTGCGGAAAACTGGCGAAATGGCCGCCTAGGGATTCCATAGACCTTCGGTTAATGGAGATACCGTGTTCAGATCATTTGGGTATCTTCCTCCGAACGGTTCGAAAAGGTAAGCTTTCGCGCTATATGTACGTTGTACATATTACTGCACGTGAAGGCCTTGCTTATTTTTATTTTTATTTTTTTTTAATTTGCACGCGTCGTTGCAATGGCGTTTTTTTTCAATAAATAAAGATGTTCCAGAGTTTTCTTTTGTGGCAAAGTGAACACATTTCGTATAAAATATACATGTAATAAGACTGTTAGTTTTTGAAACAAGATCCTGGAAAGGTGCCAGCAATGTTTTATTGTGTTCGTCAACCATTTTTAATTTGATTGCGTCATTAATCAAATCCTGAGCCAGCGAATCTTCAAACGTGTAGTTGATAGGAGAAAATTTTATGTTATTGACGGAAATATCTTGAAAGATTTAAATGGAACGATCTTTTACACGCGCCACTCTCGAGACATAATACTGGTAGATCGAGAGAGTTTTGGCTGAGTCGTCGCGGCAAGCGATATGTACCGCGAAAGACTGTTTCCGAAAATATACGATCTTTTATTGTACAGCATTTATAACGGGTTCATTAATATTTTTGTGCCGTGTGTTTCCTCATCATTACTGCGAACGCCTCTTCAAGGTGGACGCGCAAGAAAGTCTACGATTGTGATGAAGAAATTTTCTGCACCCGGTGTAACTTCTCGACCGACTCCAGAGGAAAGGATACTCGAGCAGGTAGAACAATATAGCGAGTTTCACGAGTCTCGGCAAGCTTTAATGGGCCGAGCAGTATTATGAGCGAGTCAAAGCTTCCGTTCCATCTATGTATATAGCGAGAGCTATTTCGTTTTTCTTCTTCTCTCTTGAGTATTGCATTCTCCATTTTCCGCGCTATAGTCGCGTCTCACGATATCTTCACTTTGTACATACACTTAGAGACGAAACAGACATGCTCACTTGAAATTTATGAACGCAGGAGAGCAATAATTTACACTCATGCAATTTCGAGATAAAAAAAATTTAGATATATATATACATATATTATAGAATCTATAGATATATAAAATTTTTGTATTTCATTCTTTGACTGAATTATTTACCAACAAAATTGTACCATATGATTTTTTTCGAACAGGTTTTTATCAAACGTCATCTGACTGTGACGTTATCTGGCTTAGATTTCAGCAAACTCAATTTCTCCATATTTGTTGGCTATGCACGATAGATTTAAAATTGGAAAATTGAAAAACACCACCAGAAATCGAAAAAAATTTTTTCGCGCGTTAACACAGAGTGTTCCTTCGATGATAAAAAAATAGAACAATTTTTTAAACGCGAATAGATTAAGTTAAAACACAACACGAAGCGAGATGCGAGCAGCATGAGAATGCAATTTTTGTTTGTAACTTCCTGATGCAAGAATGTTGTGAAAAAGCACTACCGGCGGCGACAGCTTGCAACTGACCTTTTTAGAGATCCGAAACTTTTAACGACGAATTTCAAATAAAAGCGAAAGAAAGAAATACGAGAAAAAAGAAGCGCACGATAAGCATTCGATTAAGATTCGAGTTAGCCATTAACGAGAGTATCTTTTCATTTGAAAAGATCGTAAATAATCCAGTCGCGATATTTATAGAATGAAGTTTGCGATAACGTAATTAAGCGC